ATGCATCCCAGCCTTTCCAATGAAGGCAGTAAATTAAAATCTCCGTCATTGTTGAAGGTATCCAGGAATCTGCTAAGGAAAAACCTCTAAAAGGGATCACGAATTTCTAGTTCTAGTTAAATACGGAATTCCAAGGAAATAGCAGGCGAGGAAAATCCCCGTTACTTCGGGGCAGCAATCACCGTGGAGCAAGAGGACAGGATCAGCAAGGAAAGCGAAGCCCCCGTTTCTGCGAAGAAATTGCGTTGCAAGGTTTTTCCCTCCTCACCTCTACAAGTTGTACTTCCTCTTTGATACCAGCTGGTTCTCTCTCCTGGCGTTCCGTCACTTCTATAGCAAGGACAGAAGACTCAACGGAAGAGGGGGACGAGACAACGGGCAGAAGACCATCCTCTTTACCAGACTCCACGGCTTCAGCCATGCTAAACAGAAAGTAATAGTGCGTGTCGCGCCTTGATGACGTATTAGGGCGGCGCTGGACGTCTTGTTTCCATGAGAACGCATCTCCCCCCCCCATAGGCGAAACTAGTAATGCGGAGTTTTGTTTGCTGCCGTTGGAGAATGAAACCTTGCAGGCGAGATTGAATTTGCAGATCCCAGGCCACGTAGTAGCTGTCTAACCGACAAAACAATGCAAACTTGAGCCCCTTTTGTTTTGACATCCAGCAGCAACATATCAACAGAAGGAAAGGTAAACTAGGGCAAGAAATTCCAAAATTACGAATGCAAACAATGCATGTACATTGGAATAAAGACCGATGCAATGCGCAGTACTCTATTCACACAACGCACTAAGCAGCGATGCGGTAACGTGGGATTTGAGGTAGCGTTTATATGAACCCCACCAAAGCTGATTTATACAGTACAAAAATGGTAATCAATAGGTAAATGTTTTGAGTGGACCCGGATAATAAAGCATTCCCCTGAAGCCACGTGTTCCTATTTCCTCAAAAATCTATGCACAAAGGGTAAACTAAAGCATGTGGCTTTTAAAGGCTCTAAAGTAAATTGAAATATAAAGAAAATTATGCACAAAAAGAATTTAAAAAAATATAAGAACCTTCTTATATTAATGCTGCATTAATTGTTCTAGTACTCAGGTCACTGCTTCAAAACAAACACAGGAAATTAAAAATAAGTTCTTAGAACTTAGAAAGTCCATGCAATAATGTTTTTTTACAAATCCTATATTTCCAACTTTGAAATGAAAAAAATTGCACTTCTTTAAAGCAGGTATCTGTCCATGTTGGAATAGATCACTTAGGGGTTCCTTAATCTCATCCTAGATTACTTCCCTTTTTTCAGCGCAAGCTTTCCAAATATAAAACTTTAAAATAATATTCATTGATGCAAATAGAGATTGCTTAAAGTTTTATTACTGCTAGGAAGAGAAAATATTTTTTTTCTTATCAACCCATACCATTGTGTCTGCACAACTCTGACAAACCACAATCGCTAAACTAAAATTAAGCATGACATATTGGGATAATGCACACATCCTGCTTGTTCTGGCACAAAAATGTCTAACTACAGAGGACATCTCCTCAAAATGTCAGCTCCATCTAACTGCTGACCCATTGCTGAGACAGCCTGAAGTCAGGTGTGGGAAGTTAGCCCAGAGAAGGAAATATTAAAAGGGCAGAAAAATATATTTTTCCTCAAAGAGATTTTTTAAAACCAAACCTGGCCCCAAATCTATCTCTCTGCCCCAAGCAAGAGCTAGCCCCATACAAGCGCAGATGTAAAACCATCAGAAAGTTGAAGCCAGAGCAATCAAGAAGACAAAGAGAAAATCTGCATGCCCCACCCAAACTCCAGGAGTCATTAGCCCCATCACCTGGAAAGCAGGATATGATAATAGGATTCAACCACAGATATCAAGGCCTAGAAAAACACTCAGAAATAGCCTCAAGGTTCATGCCACAGGAACAGGAAACTTCCAAACAAAAGGCTAGAGGGGGTATAAAAACCTACAGCCCATTGCTCAAGATCTTTTTCTTCTCCTCTGCTCTTTCTTGCAAGGACCATCTTTCTGCTTCTTCAATAAACTGTAACCTTCTTCCCAAAGCAGTTGCCATGTTGCTTATTTGTTCCTGGCTTGGATGAACCAGGATGACGACTTACTTCTGACACAGGTTTACATGTTTCAGTGTGAAAATACAGCATTTTCTTTCTTGACAATCAAGAGTGCCTGGAGGAGAAACATTGAGTTGATATGGCTGGGTTCAGCTTCAACCTGGCAGGTCTACTGTGAAATCACTCTGTCCTGTCTGGTTGCTAGGTACTGTGTCACTACTGTTGTTTGGCTGTGGCTACAAGAAGATCAGACCTCTTGTTTGTGTAACCTACGTCTTATTCTTTTGCAGGATTTAGATATTACAATGTTGATCTTTGGGAAGAGAGCTATCCTGCACTGTAACTTTGTATCTATATTTCACTATTAAGGAAAATATATTTATCTCCTAGTAAGTAAATGATTCTAAAAAAATAAATGGTGCTATCTAGAAATTTTCCAAATTCATGCAGATTAGGATTCTGATTTCAAAATGCAGTAATATGGCTGGGTATTAAATAGCATCTATGAAAACTTTTCATAAAGTTAATACATACTTCAGTTAATACATACTTCAGTTATTTTTCACTGTGACAAGCATATTAAATTCATAAAATTGATAACCCTGTGGTGAAAACTTTAAAAATTTATTGGCAGAATGCCCAGAATGCACTGCATCAATACATTTTTTCCTGTGGTTGGGGACTTTGGACATGACTCTAATTTCAGATGGGGAAAACCACAAGTCTTTGCTTTTGTAATATTGACTGATGGAGCTGTCTAGACAGCAGTAGCACATGGTTCTGTCTTAGGCATGCATTAAGGGCACATTCAGTCCCACATTCTGAAATGGGAGGAAAGCATTGTAAAGCTGCTGTGCTAAAACCATTATGTCTTAACTTGTTATGTGAATCAATCCACCACATTATGCAGTAATGGCTTGTTTTGGTATTAAGGACATGAATATGATTAGATATTTTTGATGTTGGTCTTTTTGAGAGAGATGTTGCAGAGGTGAGAGCTAATTGTCTGAAATGCAGTAACAAATTTCTCCCAAGTTGCAATTATGTTTAAAATAGTTTTCTCAGTTCAGCTATGCTTCTTTTAAAGCCTATTTGCAATGGAAGTGAATTTAAAATGTGCATTTTGAATAACAGCAGTTGGAAAGCAACTTAAGCCCAGGCAAAAATTGTTTTGCATGCAATCAGTTTGATGATTTTTTTTTTTACTACCGGTAAGTATTGATGACATGCAAGCATAGTAAATAATTTACTGGGTCCCCACTTCCCAATGCATATGTCAGTTTGTTGTAGTATCCCAAATTAATCTGAATTAAATTAACCCAATATTCTGCATTCACATAAAACTCTGAACCTTTAACTAACTGTACTGAATGTGACTAGGTGGGTTTAGCATATCTTGCATACATGGCAAATCTCTGATAAAAATAGCTGGGTAGGAATAAGTTTTCAACAGATCTACCTCCTTTTTCCTTCCATCCATTTGTGACTAAAGCACTTTTAGTACAGTATCTTCAAGGCCAATTTCAACCCCCCAAATTTGTCCTAATCAGTATTGAAAGGATTGGCTTTTAAATATTGATCTTTCAGTAACAAATGACATTTTTGGACTATTAATGTTAAGTGAGCATTCTGACAGTCTGTTCCGCCTTTCACTCCATCCAATTGATTTTCCAATTTTTACACCCCTTTTTTTCATCTCACAGATTTGCTGGTTACATTCATGAGCTTGAAGTTCATTTGGTCAATTTGTTTTCGTTCCATACAACGAACTATTGGTAGAAATTGGAGAAGAAAAATATAGGTTTCAAAGAAATGAGCTTGAAAATAGCTGAAGCGATCTGGACTATAGTAACTTCTGGCACAGATTACATTAAATGCTCTAACTTCTAAATGGGACTCAGTGGGCATGAGCCTTTGTTTACTACACTAAAAATATGTTGATAAATGTTCTGTGACTTACCTGACCTTGGTGAGCAAAGTCGAAAACTGCTGCTCGGTTGTTCTCAGCGAAATATCTAGCGTGTGTATCGCTGCGCGTTTCCCTACAAACTTTGCATAGCTGGACTCAAGTTACTTGAGAACAGTAATCAGATAAACATCTTCACCTGGAAATTTCTCAGCTTCTTATTCTTAAAGGACGAAGAGTTGTTGTTTTTTTCTTTGAGAATTTTGTTCTTTTGTTGGGAAAGACCTTCTGTCCTATTCGAGTCAGATCCTTTTCCCCCCTTAGAGTGCCCAAAATGTCGCGAATGCGTACGGAACTGCAACAGCTAGCCGGTCCCTTTACCGTGTTTTACCACATCTTTGCAAGCACTACCCGCCGTAAGAGACAGCCACCAAAGAGCGCGACCGACCGCTCTTTTCTGTCTCGGCTTCATTAGCCGGACCGGGGTTGTCGAGGCTCAGTCAGGAGGTGTGGCCTTTCTGGCCCCGCCCCGGAAGGACGCGCCGGCCGGGTTGAGGCAGCGGCGGTAGCCGAGGAGGACTAGTAAAGATCGGGGGCTGGTTTCCCGGCCCGCGTCGGGCCATGGGGAAAGAGCAAGAGCTGCTAGAGGCCGCCCGCACTGGGAACCTGCCCGCCGTGGAGAAACTGCTTTCGGGCAAGCGGCTTAGCTCGGGCTTCGGTTCTGGGGGCGGCTCCGCGTCTTCAGGGGGCGGCGGCGGCGGCGGGGGGCACCCGCTTTCTAGCCTTCTCAGGTAGGTGCCTGGGGTGTGGCTTGCGGAGCTCTTGAGAGTGGCCGGGGTGGCGCTGCCGAGGTTGACTGCGGGAGCCCGTGTCAGGCAACTGGTTTGCCTTTAGGAAGCTGGGGGTGTGTCCCAGAGACTTGAGAATGCCCGGCGATGCAATTGACCCATAGGTAGAATCTCCGCCCCCCAAAGTCTCACGGGCGTCACGCTGGTTAGTGGTCCATTCGTGTGTTTAGTCGCAGCGTTGTGTTGGGATCTTCTGGGGGAGGAAAGGTCTCAGACCTGCGCAGCGAGGAGAAGCGAATCGAAGCTGCCTTCGAGGTTCTGAAGAAAGCAGGGGTGTTCTCGGGTCTCCGGATTCCATGAAGGAAGGAAGGGGCTTTTGGTCGGCTTTTCTATTAAGAGGGGCAAGAGCTATGCCTATAGGAGTATCTCTGTGAACGTTGGTTGGGGAGACGCGTGTTTAAAGTGTTAAAACCTTGTAGGCTGAGGCTGTTGTGTGTTATAAGAACGGAGTTCTTTTGTTAATTAGTGAAGCCTCTTAGGCTGCTCCTGCCTTCTTTTGTATGTTTTTAATTAAATATCATAGACATTGTTGGTATACAGCTGCGGATCAGGTCCGGATTTAAGAGAGGTTCCAACACTCACTCCGGTGGTTTGTTTTCCTTTTTGTGGATGACAGTTTGTTTTTAGATGTCTGAGAAAAAGAATAGAAGATATGAAATGTATGCAAAGAGAAGGAAGCATAGGAAATGTGAAGTTCACAGGTACAAAAAAGTAGAAACAAAATTGTACTATAATTGTGTACCACTGCCAAAGTTTCCAAATCTTTGTAGTATTCCTCTGGGTTTTTTTGTTTTCCTTACCCAAAGGATCATTTTACTTTTACAAAACAATTTTCTGCTATGCCTGTTTCAAAAAGCTGGAAAGTTTCTCTTGATACCTGTCAGGTGACTCTTGAAGATTCTGTGTACTTTTAAGGGAGGAAGTACATATGTTGAAGTGGCTCAGAGGCTTTTCAGTAATGCAGTTTAATGTCTAATGAATTTTTGGCTATTTAAAGCTATTATGTGTAAAATGGTTCTTGACTTTTTTCTGTGTTTTATGCATAACTCCAATATTAAGAATAGTTGCTAAAAATGCAAAAGTACATATCTGGAGGCTTGGGGGCCTCGCTGTAATAAAAATCACTTTTACCAAATGAACTTTAGACAAAAAGAAATCTGCTTAGGCTACTTGCCTAAACTGTGTCTGCATCTGCTTGCTTCACGTTATATACAGACTTGGTATATATTACTTGGTAATTTTGTGACTAAATGCAAAATATTGCAACTTGTCTTTGCCTTCTGTAATTGTAAAGCAACACTTGGCGGTTGAATTATAAATATTGCTTGGGTCCATATACTGCATTAAACTACAATACAGGTTTGTTTGGGTTTTTTTTTGGTTTTAACATATTTTATGATCCTAGCCATTGTGGTTTGTAAATCATGGTTGATAGCAGTGTATTCAAAGACAACAATTTGTGGCTTATTATGTAAGGCACAACTCAGTGCAGTACGTGAACTCTGTCACTGTGAGCTGTAAAAATATTTAACTATTCAGTCAAAGTAGCAAATTGTAACTCTAGTTACAGAGAAGCTGCTTCCTATACCATTTGAAGTACAGTTAATTGTACATTTTTCCTGAACTTTATACAGTATGCACCTTCCCCATAGGTGCCAGATTATTCCGTGCTTTAATATTTCTAAATCTTATTTCCTGAAATGACAGTGATCTGAAGGTCTTAATAGATGCTTCTCCACCTATGACTTTCCTAGGCTCCCATCACCCTTAAGCAGGTTTCCGATCATCCTATGGTAAAAGTTCCAGTCCTACAAACAATTAATGTGAGTAAACAATTGGACTCATTAGGAGAATATCTTTGCATTTGAAATTAAATGCATGTCTGTTGGAATTGGCTAGAGCCTGTGATATGGCATGTGGGCATATTCTGTTTGGAAGCATGGTTTGAATACTGTTTCTGGAATGTATGCTTTAGAGGAATTAACTTTTGTCATGTCTGAAAATTTGGCAGTGAATTATAATTTACTGAATTTCCTACCAAGCTTTGGTGAGTCTGTGGATTATCTGTTATACAGAATATACAGTGGGGCTATTATAAATGTAGACCTGTTAGAAAAGCCATATTGCTTTAGGAAAATATTAAGTAGCATCCAGAATGTGTGTTGGTTCTTCAATATGACTTATTGCTAGAGGAGTGGAAAGATTTTTAATTTATAAATATGGCCAGTATATTTAAATGTCTTAATCATAGAAACGCTAATCAGATTGAAAGAATTTGAGGATGTTCTTTGTGTCCTTTATGATGATAAAGACGCTATCATTCTCAGATTTTATATGATTTCTGTAGGTACTTATAATAACTTGAGCTGTGATGGCACGGTGGTTAAAATGCAGTATTGCAGGTTAATTCTGCTGACTGCAAACTGCCAGCAGTTCAGCATTTCGAGTCTCACCAGCTCAAGGTTGACTCAGCCTTCCATCCTTCTGAGATTGGTAAAATGAGGACCCAAATTGTTGGGGGCAATATGCTGACTCTGCAAACGACTTAGAGAGGACTGCAAAGCACTGTGAAGCAGTATATAAGTGCTATTGTTATTACTAAAGAGAAGAAGGATTGCCAAGAAGGAAATCCGAATCTTAACCCATTTACTGTAGTTGAGATAGAATTCCAGACACCAAGGCTTTGCATGGGAATGTATGACTGGCTTTTCCTTGCTAACACTAAGGTTGGACTGGAACCTTGAAAAAACATCCCAAAAGAAAGCAAGGGCAAGCTACTTCTACACTGTTGTCAAGAATACAACATATACATGTCCATGGAGTCATCAGGAGTTGAGATTATCTTTACTTAAATACTACCTGTCCTGTTGTATGTAATATTAACCTGTGTTAAATTAGTATATTACTAAAATGGTTACATTGTTTAATATTTTTATGGGAAAAAACTGTGGTCATTAGAAGCAGAGGGTCATTGAATATGAGATGGGTGGCAAATAAATGTCCTAAATAAATAAATAAACAACTCAATGACACATAATCATGTAATATTTTACTGTTCGTGGATCTCTCCTCCTGTTACTCAAATTTGTTTCTTCAAGTCCATCTTGACTCCTGGCAACTCCTGATAGAGTGCTGTCTCCTTGGCAAAATTTTCAGAAATGGTTTGCCATTTTATTCTTCCTAGAGTTGAAAGAGTGTGACTTGTCCAAAGTTACCCAGATGGTTTTCTATTTTGTCAGGTCTAGAACTTGGCAATCTCCTAATTTCTGAGTTGGTGCCTTTGCTTACTATACCAAACTCGATTTCTTTATTATTACTACTACATAAATCATACTCGATTTGCAATTGAAACAACACAAAAGAAAACAGAGAATTGCAATGATATGAGATTTCAGGTGAGTTTGATCATAGGGGCTACACCAGATTAGGTTACTTATAAGTCAAGAATGCAGGACTTGGAATTTGCAAAATAGAGAGGTACCTGAAATAACTGTCACTCTTATGGATTTTCTTAAAGGTGCACTTCAGAACTAAAAGTTTCATAATTTAGGAGCATGAAGAGGATTCTTTTTAGTTAAACTGAAACTTGGCATACTATAATGTATGTTCAGTAAAAACTGCCTCTGAAGAATGCAAGTGAGATTCAAAAGATTAGCATTCTTATCATAAATTCCTAGGTGGTGGAAGAATTTAACTGGTATGAGGAAAAAGCCATAAACTGGCTAAAGCCAAAAGCCGGCAACTCATTTCTAGTCCATGGGTTTGTAGTTGTTCATTCACATATTTTGTTTAGTTTGCTCTGGATGGGATTGTGCTTTTCAAATGATCATAGTTACAATTCAGCAACATTCAAATATGGAACGTTTTCTTTGGGAGGCTCACCTAGTACGTACGTTGATTTTTTTTTTTTTTTTTTGTACCAGGCAATCTGTCTTTCATTGCAACATAACTAAAAGTATGCTCTGGATTAAATAAAAATAGGGGAACTTGCAGAATTGCAAACTCTTAGCTGGCGCTCTTGCACACTCCCTATGCATCTTTTGAACAACATTCTAATCTTTTACTTCAAATGCTCATATTCTTGATTTTATTCATGTTACTTCAAGCAGAAACAACATTAAGAAACTTATTTTGGGGTTGGGGGTATTATTTTTAAATAAGAATTTGAAACAGGCATTGTATACATGTTTTCCTGCCCAAATTATGCCTGTGTATCAGACTGGAAAAGCATATCACTTCTGCTTTCTCAAAAGCGTGTACATTTAGTTGCAAAACTGCAAAGCTGTAAGTAGGGAAATGATCTTGCATTCTCTTAAAATATCTTTAGTTGAATTCAGCAAAATAGTACCATGCTGACCAACAATTATTTTCAAGAATACCTTCAGATTGACTTACGTATTTAATAAATTCATATCATTTTATTATTTGGAATTTTCTGTTAAGGATTACATTTTTTCACAATACTTTCCCAAATGGTGGGAAGCAGTGAACCGATTGAGCTAAACTAGAGCCTTCTTTATGCTAGGTACCTGAAATGTTTTGGTACATTTTGAAGTAGAACAACAGAATGTAAATGAAAACACTGCTTTTTAATCCAATACATTTTTAAAAAGATCTGACTGATCTACAAAATTTAAATTTCTAACATAATTAAAGCCAGGAAAAATATTTTCCTCATTCTTTTCCAGAAGAAGGAAGCTGTGAAAAAATTGAAAGACATTTTGTCAATCTTCAGTCACGTTGCTATTTTAGCTACATGAATTATGTATAGCTTCACTTGTTCATAAAATTATTGTGCTTGGCCTATTACTTGTAGAAGTGTGATTCATCATTAAAAGATTGGTTGAGTGATTTTTCTGCATCTCAGATTTTAAGGATCCAATGATAAATTATATAGATTAACATGTTTTCATAATAAAAGCAAAATAGTGGCTGATCTAGTGAATTCAGAACTTTTGAAGAAAGTAATATATAGCAGGGCTCTGATCAGTGTTTAAAAGATGTGTTTCAGGAAGTATGTTAGCATAAGTAAATGTAATTCTGAATTGTACATGCACGCTCATGTGCAGATCAACATATGTAAATCCTTAAAGTAGTCTTGTGGGCTTTCCAAAGATGTAGTTGTTTTAGAGCTTTGAAGAGAGATGTTTTACTAGTGTTGAGCACATCTCAGGAAGCATCCCTTTTGAATGCTTGGCTCAGTATTAGCATAAGAGCAGTTCTTCTGTTTCTTCTTCTTCTAATGTTACTCTGCTAATTGCCTGAGTCAGGTACCAAGAGTGCCCAAATAAAATCAGCATCTGTAGGGTGGAGAGATGTTACAGTCTCCCACTGGCCAACAGTTAATCAGAGATGAAGGATGTAAAAGGAACTCTTTTCCCCTCTTTTTCCCTCTGAATAACATATTTGGTACCCATTATTCAAATATAGTATTATGCATAAATCTAACACGTTCATTTTAATATTTACTAAACTCTTTTTAAAACAATTAAGAAACATGACTGTATCCCCCAAAGTCTGCAGTGTTGTGTGAATGTTCTACATTGACACTCATAAACAAATTATTAACTTCTTGTTGTTAAAGAAAAGGATATATGACTTAGAGCGACCTTTTCCAAATTAGTGTCCTCGGCTATGTTAAGATATCTTCATTACTTGAGGAAGATGAGACAACTGTCTTAGATGAAGAAGCAATCAAAATTGGCTTCAGGATAAGTGCTGAAAAATCGAAGATCATGCATGTGAGATCCACTGCATAGATATGAGGAATCACTCTCCGATCACAACAACTTGAGGAAATAGAAAGGTTTACCTAGACAGAGTAATTGCCCGAAATGGAGATGCAGAGATGGACATCAAGGGGCGCATTGGAAAAGCAACAGACGTTTTCTAGAGGATGAATAAAATCTGATCCTTGTTGTAATATCACTAAAACTTAAATTCTGTTTGCTTGCCTCTATTTATGCCAGAGGGATCTGGAAGGCATCAGCGAGTATTAACAAGAGACTTAATGTCTTTCAGCAAAGATGCCTTCACTGTATCCTAACGATTTGCTATTTTGACCATGTTACTAACGAGAAGTCCTCCAAAAGAATTTTTCCTGCAAATTACATAACATTGTAGCACACAGAAGACTCCAATGTACAGGTCATATTCTCTGTATGGAGAACAGTTGAATCCCCAAGATGGCAATGAGATGGACCCCCCCCCACAGTATATGTTAGGTCAGTTTTGTCATTCCAACTTACAATCTTACAGTAAGTTCAAAGACAATAGTAGATTTTAAAACAGTCCCACTGGATTAGAATATTTGGATAAATAGTTGTGAGTGAAGATAATGAGTTCTACAGGAACCAGAGAACCAGGAAGCATAAATGGTTTAAAGGGGGGAAAGAATAAGTTTAAAAAGTGAAAGTAATGTCCTTGAGCAGAACTTTAGAACTGGAACATATCTACCTTTAGCAAGAACTAATCCAATAAACTGAAACATGGCATCTGTTTGATGAGTTCTCTGTGCACCTATTGATGATCGTAATAAAATAGATAGCACAGTGTACAGATTCTTAGAACAAAGAATTGGGGCATAGAGACTGATGTGATAGCAGACAACCACATGATAAGCTGTTTTAAATGTTATACTTGAAGATTGGAGTGTACACCACAGGGATGCTGTTTTCAATGGCATCACTTTAAAGCAGACTTCCTGTCTTGGATTCTGTCCAAATTTATGGTCTTCAGCTCAGCAATTTTCAGCCCTTGACATTTGGAGAACATCTAGCTCAGTGAAGATTGTTTTGAGGAATGTAATGTATTCCACTTCTTAGACTTTCTGAGTATATTGAATGACAGTCACAAATTGAAGGATATGAATAATTCCCATCTGAAATACAACTATTTCAGTTGATTATTTCTTTTTAAATAGAATCATCAAGACCCTCCCTCCCTAGTCCCTCCCCTCCCAGACCCTCTGAGAAGTCCACAAAATCCAAATTATTTGCCAGGCTATGTTGAAAAATAACATAGTATTAAAATCCCATTAAATGATCATGAGAGTAGCGGCTACAACAGCCTCAGTTTTAATTTTAAAATATAGTAAATAATGATAAAACCCATACAAATAAAAGCTCTTTGATGTCCTCCATTATTTTTAAAAATAGGATGGGGCCCTGAGAGAAATACTGTATAGGGAAAAGACTTCTACTTTTAAGCCCATCTGTCTTCAGTCCATCATGGCAATATATCTGTGTCTTCTCTAGAGGTATGATTTCAATAAGATACTTCTTTGAGAGTTAATGTAGCTGGAAGATTATCTGAAAATATAACAAAAAAAATGGGATTTTGGCTTAGGCAAGCTTTTAAGGCATCGGACTTGATTTCCTTCCCTCTCTTGAGAATATAAATTCAATTCAATAAGACTCTAAATGGCCTTCCTTTTAATAATGTTTTTCTTGATTGGTGAGTGTTTAATGATTGCTTTCACTTTATTTCCATTTAAGAGCAACGGAACCATTAAACTTTGCTAGTGTCCTTATAACCTACAGTGACACAAGATAGCACAGAAAAAGGGGAAGGAGGGGGAAGAAGGAGAACCTGAGAAGGGACCTTCCTGAGAGTGAACATGACATAATCTGGAAGCTGTGTAGATTCTATAAGGCCAGTTTGTACAAGGCTTACCAACAAACCACCATACAGACTGATCATACAATTCTGAGGTTTGCTGGTTCCTCCCACAAGTAAGCATCACTGATAAACCGTGGACATATTTTTTGTGCAATATGTTCTTTAAATAAAAAAATTATCTTGTTCCTTTCCATATAAGCCAACAAAAGAAGCAAGCTACTTTTCCTTTTAAAAACAAAACTTGTAAGAGGAGCACGTATTAGGAACGAGTATAATCCTAGATTGGTGGTTAGCCTTCTAGACCCAAATCAGAAACTGCTGGTTTCTTGGTTATTCCCTCCATTACAGTTAAGGCGAGTGCTAAAACAATGCCACTGCCATTCTGAGCAAAGGATTTTGCTAATCTTCCACATGGGGCACTTGGAATTGATGGCCCAGGAAGGGGGGGAGGGAAAAACCCAGTTTATAGAGAAGGGGGAAAAAAACACCAGGTCAATCAAAGGTTCACAAGGTAAAATATACAATAAAAGTATACAGCCAAAATATTAATAAATATTTAATACAGAATCCAAATAAAGTAGCGCCCATCTATAATCCCACCAAGATAGTATCACAGCCGAAAAGCCCATCAGAGGAGCCCATCATGTTGAACTGCTTCTGGAATGCAGTCAAGGTGGGAGCCAATCAGAGGTCTCCACTAGGAGGCCCTTCTGAATGATTGGCAACACCAAAAAGCAAGGTGGGTGAGTTGCATCCCCTCTTTCCTAGAGTGGGGAACTACTGGCAGCTTCTCCCAAGTGGGTCAAACTGGCCAGAGTTAAGTCCAGTTGGAGGATGTAATCCTGTACGTAACTTGGTGCCATGCCATGTAGGGTTTTATAAGTTAGCACCAGGACTTTAAATTACACCTGGAAGTAGATTGGTAATTGGTGTAGCACCTGTGGCATTGGTGTAATGTACTGCTATCAATTAATGCTTGGTAACAAATGAACTACTATAGTTAAACCAACTGCATCCTTTGAGCAATCTTTAAAAGTGCACTATGTACAATATTTTATAGCAGTCTCAACAGGTAGTGATAAGGGCATAGATTCTCCTATCCTAGGGGTAGGCAACCTTGGCTCTTTTATGATTCTTGGACTTCAACTCCCAGAATTCCTGAGCCAGCATGGCTCAGCTTGGAAACCTCTCCCTTTCCTCTCAGCATGGCTGGCTCAGGAATTCTGGGAGTTGAAGTCCACGAGTCATAAAAGAGCCAAGGTTGCCTACCCCTGTCCTATCCCAAGGAGGGCTGCAGTTGGTATTTCAGCTGAAACTGGATAAAGCAAAGACATCCTTGGATCTGACCTTCACCTGCTGTTCTAACAGGAGCTGCAAGTGCAGAAAGACCTTCAAGTTGCAAACTTTTGCAAACATTCAGAGTGCATGGAATTGTTACCAGTACTATCTAATGGAGATAATTACCTTGTCTGTTCCTGCTTTTTTATGCATTATTAGAATATCTGTATATGAGAGTATCTATCTACTTATATAAGACATGTACCATTAGGTTTTACAGACGTTCAAAAGATATGGACATAAAAACTGGAGGAGGGAAAACAGTGCTGCAAAATATTGAACATTCTCAAACGCTATATGAATTTTTACAACTTTTGGGGAGGAAAAACTACATAAATGAAGATCAACATTAAAACAAGGTTTTGAAGATTCCAGTTGTAAGGTTTATAATAACAATGCTGCTTTATTTTTTAATCTGTGCTTGGTAATATTGCAATTAATTATGACTTCTCACTCAGTTGGCTTGTCTGATATTCCACACCCTGTATAGCAAACAACTGTTAAGTAGGGCAGGCCTCTCTCAACTGTGAGAAATGTCGTAAGTGTTGATTGTGCACTGATTTATTTGCACCTCATTTGTGTTTACATTATTCTTTACCATGTTAAGGTTTCTATATTTGCAGGCTCCAAACAGTGACTGCAAGTTTATGAAAAAATGTAAGAACTTTATGACATAAACAACAGACTTCCATTTGTAACTTGTAATAGGTCAGTAATACATTTTTTAGAAAATTAATATTCATAATTTGAATTTTTAATTCTGAAATGAGAAACATTCTATTTTTATTAACTAATAATTCTTAATTCTAACTTTGAGTGGAGGAAGCCGATAGCTTGCCAAACTGTTTTTGATGTCAGAAATCTAGAATAATTTGGATAGTCTTTCAATCTCAGTGCCAGGTGTACAAATTACATATTCATCAGAATATCTATAATTATTAACTTGACATAGGTAGGGTTTGGTATCATGAATATATTCTTCATCTTTTCTGCAACTACCTTTCAATCAAGCACATATTCTTTTTTTCTTCTTCATTGATTTATTCAAAACATTAGCTTGCTGTGACATTTGGGAGGACAGTAATTATCACTAACTATATAAACTGCCTCCAAACTATGATTTGAAATGTGTTGCTAAGTAAAGGAAGAGGAGGGGGTATGAAACCTGTGTAGTGATGTTGTTGACAACATAATGATTTGACTAACACATTTTAACTGTGACCATATAATAAGAGGAAGATCTTCATCGCTGTGATTTTGCTTGCATCTAGTTTGTTCACTATAGTTTATGATAAGCAACAGGAAATTCAATATGATTAAAATTGTTGACGGCAGGAATTATTAAAATTATTGATATGGAACAGTTTCTACTGAATATGTCTAATATAATTGACAACTTTGATTGTCAATTAACTGCAGCCATTTGGCTAAATAATACATGAGCCATCTGGGAGGGAGCATTTCATTGAGCCAGTATTTCAGACATTGAATTTAAGTGAAATTTATGATAAAATATTTAAAATAGCTGTTTCCTATAAATTGATATTGGATGTAGTAGACTGGATGAGATTTAACTATTGAAACCTCTAAGTGGTCATTTGATAGGCAGTTCAACTTTAACTTATTTTGGATGGAGTTATACTCCGTTTGAAAATTCATTTTTGCTTTTTTGGCACATTCCCAACTGAACATGGCGCTCTTAGATGATGATGATATAAAAAATGATAATGGGGTAAGACTTAAGGAGCCCAATCTTGTAAAATCTCTGTTTTCATATGAGATTTCCTGCGTTCTAAAGCTATTTATTTCATACTTGAAACATCATGCCAAATTGCGTAGTGGTACTTATTGCTTGAAAAAGTTGTTTGCCTCTGTCATAGATTGGTATTGAAATCTATGGATCCTCAGGTTTTGACTGGGTGTGTACATGCACAATTAAAGCTAGAACGCCAAAGGCATTCTGAGAGCTGTCCATATTCATATATGTCTTTATTACAGCCCATTTGGGATTTCTGTGTTCTGTTTTTCAGAAATGTTCAGAAACTACAACAGCTCTGGATAATTAATTGGAGCTGGGCATTGGGATCGAGTAACTGATCTATTAAACAGTTCCATTACTTGACTATAACTTGTAAGCTTATGGGACTTAGTGTGAGGATCATATCCTCTCTTGTAATTTTTCCTGTGCTTGAAATTCTAAGGTTCTTTTGTTTGGGTTGCCAAATCAAAAATACATTTTTTATATTTTACAGAAATATGAAAGTGGGATTTTCAGTTGCCATTCTTAAGGTTTATAACTTCCTGATAAGTGAGTCCAGGCAAGTTTTATCTTTTATTCTTCTGATAGTGTGCAATATGTTTATTTAGTTAATACTTTCTGGAGTAAAGAGGTTTGTTACCTAGTTAGATTTAATTGTATATTGTTTGTTTTATTGATGAGTCTTTAATGGTATTTTGTTTATGTTTTGCTGTGTTTGAACTGTGCAATATTAAGAAACATCACTGTTTATTTATTCAGCAGATATGTATGGCTAACCATCTCCATTCAGTGTGCCTATGAACAACAACCAGCAACGATTAAACAATATCATGACCATGAGGAAAATAATTTTAAATAAAAAGCAAGATTGTGGGAGAATAACCACCAATTAGATACAATCCAATCATCTTGCAGGCTCCTAATGGGATCCCCAAGCTATTTGGAAAATAAATGGTCAAGCAACTTTTTTTTTTACAGCTATAGAACCATATTTTCTTCCCATTTTTCTCTCTTCAGAGGTCACAGCTTTGATGAAACTGACATTTTTATTTTTAAAGAACAAAGCAAATATGCAAAGTCATGATAGGTAATAGAAGTTAATATTCTTGAGACTATCTGTTGACGATAATTGCATATGGAAGATTTTAGCTTAGAATGTAAGAGATATATAAGAATGATAAACAACATGATTTATGAAAGAAATGAAACTAGGAAAAATAGACATAGTGTTTATTGAAAGTAAAGCAAATACGAAAGATACGGATCTGAATAGCGATGCTCTGAGGTTGTATAATAGAATTAATGAATGGAAGCAAAGCTGTAGTTTTAATTACAGGCATATCTAGGAGATATTGTAGGCTTGATTCAGGCTTCCACAATAAAGCAAATATTGCAGTAAAGCAAGGTACGCATTTTTTTAAATTTTCCCAGCATATATAAAAATTACGCTTACAGAACACCATAGTCTATTAAATGTCTAATAGCTTTATGTCTAAGTAAAATAATGTACATACCTTAATTAAAAATATTGCTACAAATGCTAATTTGAATCTTCAGCGAGTTATCTTTTTTCTGGTGGAGGGTCTTTTTAAAAAATGCAGTATCTACATCAATAAAGCAAACTGCCAAGAAACAAGGTATGCCTGTATGAATGAGAGCTAAATATATGAATTGGCTTAGATGGTAATGGGTACATATGAAAGGTGTATTTCATAGCTTGGTGATAATTGCGTGGGAATGATGACTGATAATGAAAGAATTACATATGAGCTCTGGGGAAAAATTGCAATATTTCCATTAATGCTTTCCATTAAGCGAAATGATTGAATAGATGCAAATATGACATGAGGATAGAGCAAAAGTGATAGACCCAAAATAAATAAGAATAGCATTTTTTTAAAAAATGAGTATCTGGTAAGAATGGAAGAAAGAGAAAAAAAAGAGAATACCCAGCAGCAAGGATGGTAGATTTGATTACAGAGGCAATGGTAGCACAATTGGAAAACTTATAGGCCAGTTTGGAGATCTGCCTTTGTAGTTGCAAAGACAGATTTGATTGCACCTAATCAATCAATTAATTTATCTAATCTGTGTAGAAAAATATACTGTGTTTCCTTGAAAATAAGACTGGATCTTATATTAAGTTTTGCTCCAAAAGTCCAAAAAGGCTTATTTTCCAGTTAGATCTTATTTTCGGGGAAATACGTACTAAATGGGTCCATCTGGCTGACGATCTTAACTGGGGCTTATTTTTGGAGTGGGACTTATATTACGAGCGTCCTGAAAAAATCATGCTAGGGCTTATTTTCCGGTTGGGTCTTATTTTTGGGGAAACACAGTGGGTCTGACAAATCTTCATTCATATATACACCAAGCAAAGAAATGAATCTAAAAGCATGATTAATTTGGGCTTTTGAGCTTTTATCAGAACAGATGTAATTAAACAAGAAAGTGTTGAAATAATTTGATATAAAACTGAAGCGGAGGAATGATGCAAAGAGTATTTTAGAAATATGTATGGGAATGATGAAGGTATGCCCAGCAATGGAATTGAAAGAAATGCTATCAGTGATGAAAAGGAAGTCACACCTGTGGTGAGAATGTGGAAAATTGGCAAGACTACAAGGTGTAGATGATGTAACTGCAGAAATACTAAATTGTGTATGTAGCTTGCTTATGGAATGACTGTGCCTCTTGTTTAATGTTTGTGAAGATTTTATCTGCCTCTGATGATTATAAGAGTGATGTTATTGTTCCCTTCTATAAAGAGAAAGATAATGAAGTAGGTTAACATCTATTAAGGGAATTTGTTTATTAAGTTTGCCTGGGAAAGCATTTGACAGAATTGTAGTGGAAATCATGTAAGAAGGGTTTATTAGTAAAATGGGGAGTGCATTTTAGCTTTATGCTGGGCAGAGGCTGTGATGAGTGTATAAATGTGAGAAGGTTTATTACATATTTTCTGGTTGAGATAAAATGCATTAGAAAGTGAAGAGATTAGAATTATGGTAGGTTTTGAATGTATATGGAGTTGAAGATTGGTTGATGAATTACATAAGTGTTGTGTATAATATTAATAAAGCATATGTAGGAACAGAATGTTTAGCAAATGTCTCAACATTAAGCACAGAGTAAAACAAGAATGTGTAATTCTTTTGGATGTTTAATGTAGTTATGTATAAAACTATGGGGAATGCCTGTGGTCATATTAGAGATGTATTGGTTGGGAATATAAGTAATCCTCAATTTATGACCATTTGTTTATTGTTCAAAATGAAAACATTGCTAGGAAAAAAAAGACTTACAATTGGTTTTTATACTTACGACCCTCACCGTGCCCCTGAAATCACATAATCAAAATTCAGGTGCTTGGCAATTAGCATGTATTTATGACAGTTGCAGCATCCCGTCACATTTCTCTGCTACCAAGTACAGGGAAACAAAGGTCTGTGGGATTAAAACAAAAAAAGTTCCATCAGACTTTTCACGAGATTTTTCGCGAGAAGTTGGAAGTTCATAACTCGAGAACTACCTGTACCGCTTGGTGACAGACGTTCCAGTCTGAATTTTGCTAGTAAGTCAAGGACTATCTGTATGCACCTTTATTTACAGATGATGTGCCTAAGAACCAAACAATTTCCAATGAATGTTAAATTGCATGATTCAACAAACAATATGGATTTGAAAATCAATGTATCAAGGCTAAAGATAATCATATTTGAAAGAGAAAAAGGAGTACATTTCTTGTATAATACACGTAAAGGTCAAAACATTATAACAAGTGATTGAGGTTTTATAACTTTCAATAATATGTACTAAATATTTGAAAGTTCAGGAAGAAATGTTAAGATATACAAAATTTTGGCGTGAGGGAATGGTTCATATCTAGGAGGAATGAACGTTGCTCAAAATAATCTCTACTCAAAAAAAGAATATTGACTCATACTTCTGTTTGAAGTGGTATTTTTTGTTGTCGTCATTGCAATATATAGTTGGGTTTAAGTATGCATAATATCGGGCCAAAGATAACCATATTTGACAGAGAAAAAGGAGTACATTACTTGTACAGTACACATAAAGGTCAAAACATTACAACAAGAGATTGAGGTTTATAACTTTCAATAATATGTACTAAATACTTGAAAGTTCAGGGAGAAATGTTAAGATATGCAAAATGTTGGCATGAGGGAATGGTTCATATCTAGGAGGAATGAACGTTGCTCAAAATAATCTCTACTCAGAAAAAAAGAATCCTGTCTCCAAAGAAATAAGAAATGACTAGTAGATGATTGTAGAAAATGTTCCATTAAAAAAAACCTGCTGCAAACACTTGGGCAGCACAAAACAATATTCAAGTCCTAATTAGCTATAACATCCAAGTTATCCCCCTTGCTGCCTGCTTGGCTACAACGGAAAGACCATTTATGTCATACTATTATTATAAGCCTTACCAATACTTTCTTAGCAGAATTGTTCAGAGGACACAGGTAAGATAGAGGTGTTCCCCAGAATGGCAAATCTTAGACAATTAAGCATGATTATGGCTTTTCAGATCTCAGAGTGAATTGCTATGATTAGGTAGTAGTTGATTAGATTAAATATGTTCCATGAAAATAGTGAGTTACTTACTATATAAACAATGTATTTTGCTTAAGTGTTGGATTACTGTTCTGTTATTTTTCCAGTAGATTTTATGAAAAATAATTTAATATTAGGGCTATGCAAGCTTTGAAAATGGTTAGGAAGATATACTTGACCAAGCAGCACCTAGTTATTTTCTAAAGTTGCCCTATTTTATTAAGGCTTCCACTTGAATATGAAAAAATAGCTTCTTTATTAAAATTAATATGATTCTTAAAAGAGTCACAATTTTTATCAGGCTTGGGTAGAAGCCTAAAAAATTGGGTGCTTAGATGCACAGAGGTGCTGTATTTCTTTAAGATATAAAGTAATTCCTGAGATGTGTATAATTCTAATAAATATTAGAATTACTACAGTATTACATTCAAGCACAGAACTACAGTTCTTTAAACTGGAGATAAATAATACTTTTTATCTATACCTGTGCTGCTACCTCCCTGCAGTGTTTTCTGTGCAGTTAAATAAATTGCTTTGAGCTTCTGATAAAATATGGGTTGTTCATTTATTTAAATAATTGTATGATCATCCATCTTGCTCCATGACTTTGGGCATTTAATAGTAAATTAAAAGCATAGCAATGAAATGTAACATTTTTTAAAAAATAGCATGATAACATTAATACAAAGCAGTCAAATTCCTAAAAAAGACTTTACTTCAACAACTATACAACCAGGCCATTGGACTCAACTAGAATCCCAACCTAATGCTTGAGGGAATAGCCAAGTTTCCAAAGCCTCTGAATCTTCGGGAGAATGATGTTCCATAGGACAGGCACTGTGGCAGTAAAGACACCTCTTTTGGTTCCACTAGATAAGGGGTCCCCAACCCCCCGGTTCGTGGATCGGCACCAGTCCACAACTTGCCAAAACCCGGTTTGCTCAAACAAGCAAAGCCCCATCTACGGGATGCAGGCAGTAC